ATAGCATCCATCAGGTCTACTGTATTCTTAAATGGTATTACATGCATGAGCTTGAAAATGATGTCTGATCTCTATACAGTACGTATCCGTCAGATCTATAAAGACGTTTGTTATCTTTAGCTGATTCTGAAAGCCTGCTTCTATGAATGGTATTAGAGATAGGACTTGATTTGTGCAGTTTCTGTGGGCTGTGAAGCTAGTTCGCGTCCGTAGTAGAATACTACACGTGCACCCTGGGTAAAGCTAAATGAACTAGCGAAATTGGCAGCTACACAATCCGCTGGATCTCCTGGCATCACAATCACTATGACTTTTCATAGAGATCAATACCTACCAAACAACGGTAGAATTCTCATAGTCTGAACAGAAATGTTTCGCTGGGATTTTGAACAAGTTATATTCCACTTTCAACGTACACCGAGACATTTCTGGAATATATTACTGCACCATTTCCGATTATTATTCCCAGTTCTGCAATCCCAAACTTTGCTGATGGATGAGTTCAGAAATCGAGTCAACTTCTTGTGTCGTATTGCCACAAACAACTCGCTACCCAATATCATCAGAAACATGCCAGGTACAGCATCCATCTCCGGAATGTTCTCCAGAATATCCAAGCTGCCGTTTTCGCGGAAAAATAGTCCGCGTTGCCATGGCGAATCCCTTTTTATTGCCGAAGTTATGCCAAAGAGCAAGTCGGCATCCTTTCGCGTAACAAAGTGATATGATGATTAGGTTAAATGGTGGAGAATAATACTCGTTAGACATTCATTGAAAAGTTTCGACTCATTCCGTTTTGTTGGGTGAAACGATTCGAGCTTTTCTAATTTAATGTTCTTCTTGGAAGTTGGGAGCCCTCGCGTGGTTCAAGGCACTTTTCTGTAATTAACTTTTGTGTTTGTAACTTCATTCTTCTTGGGTCGAACACGGGGTGGTCGCTTTGAACTTTTTTCGAGAACGAGGTACAAATTTTATTGGTAACCTTTTGATAAACGTTGAGAGGAATAGTGACATGATATATCTCATACTCATTCATAGCTCCAGCGGAGAGTTCATATGAAGTGACTGAAGTATCTATTTTATAGGTTAGTCATCCAGGGATATCACTTGCAACGATCCACACTTTGTCCAAAATAAGTAGGGCACTACAAATATTGTGCTCTCATTCTGATCTGGCTGAAATTGGAAATTTCCAAAACATGTAAACTGATGATTTCATTTTGATGTTTTTTGGAATGATAATTCGATAGCATGAATAGTGAAACATCACGTAAGCTGTTATAGAACTATTCATGTATATTGATTTATGAATTCGAAAACACATTAAAAAAGGAGAAGGAAACAACAAAGTATAATATTCAATTGTGAAAAAAATTCACTACGAATATTGTATTTCTCAACATTTACTTTCCACAGAATGAATTTGTTTGATGCGACTAGGAATGTGTAAATAAAAAAAAATGCAACTTCTGATTTTTTCGCAGTACTCCTATGAAATCAGATATTTCATTATTTGATGTATTTGAAGTAAATTATTTGATCAGTATATTTGAGCTGCTCATCTTCATTATGAGATCTAATGTGATATTCCTCTTATTCCTCTGATGGAAAATACCAAATACTCTTTCGTTTGAATAAACAGAAAGGAAATTGGATTGCAAGCATCATTTGCGAATGAAAGCACTTTATCGTTTGCATATATCGTATACATACGATATGAAATTGGACCCGAACATGATCCTTGAGGAACCCCCTCAATCATCAAACTCAACTCTGGGGTAAATGACACTCAGCATGTCTTCGGATTTTGTCAAAAAACCTATATTTTTCAATATCCAGGAATACTTCGCTGATTTGATTCAAAAAATATATCACACTGGATTGAATTGTCCTCAATTTTTTTTCTATGTTTCAGGTTGTTGAAGTTTCTGTATGATAACTAGTAGCCTACTATCTCAGAGTATGTCCGGAAGCAGAACTTGGTGAATTTGAAAAATATTTTCCAGAGGATCTAATATGAGTCCAAAAGAGCATTTGAAGTTGCGAAGATCAATACAATTTTTTATTCAAAAATAACTTTCAGAGATTCTGAATAACCTGTTTTTGCTATTTTCACACGATTCACACCAATATATCCAATTCAGTACGTATCCAGTAGATCATTCAACGTAGCAGCAAAATGGTGTACCATAACATTACATAGTACTGATAGTGATTCGGTTATCCTCACCTCGTAAATTTTCTAACGAAGTTTGTTTGAAGGTGGTTGACAATGCTTCGTGATGTATTTTATCAGTTTGGACATATACGCGGCTTCTTTGAATTCTCTCCTGAACCAGTGTTCTTCCTTGTGAATGATTTCAGCTTGAGCCCACTTGATGTTATGTTGATAAGTTCTAACATGCTCTGCTATTCCGGATTTGCTGGTTTCTCCTCGCTATGTGTGTTTCTTGTGCTCAGCAATGCGAACTTTCAAGGGCGTCTTAGTTTCACTGATGTATGATTCTCCGCACTCGCAGTGTATCCGGTAAATGCAATTCTTGAAATCGCAGTCCGCGTTTGGTGGCCTGGTTTTCGTGAGGCTGCTACGGATAGTGTTTCCAGATCTGAAGCAGGTCCTGATGTTATACTTGGACCCAATCCTTTTTATCCTTTCCAATGATCCTCTGATGTAGGGAAGTACAAGTAGATGCTGGTTGTGGCGGCTCCTCTTCCTTGTGGAGCTCTTGCTGTCTTCTAGCTAAAGCCTGTTCTACCATCACTCTGGAGTAACCATTCCGATGAAGGTCATTTTTGATGATACCTAGTTGTTTTTCGAGACCTTCCTTGGTATTACAGAGCCCAAAAGTACGGTCTAGTTGAATCTTGATGATTCTCCTTTCAGTCGATTCATGGTGGTTGGATTTCTGGTTCAGATAATGTCTCGTGTGAGTGGGTTTTCGATATACAGATGTTTCCCATTCAGTGTCGGTCCTCTTCACCAATACGTCTAAGAAAGTCAATTTGTTGTGGACTTCCTTCTCCATTGTAAAAGTGATGGAAGGACGTTGTCGATGTGCTTCAGGAAAGTGTCTAGCTCTGCATTTCCATGGTTCCATATCATGAAGGTGTCGTCTACGTATATCAACCAGACTCGGGGCTTCTTGTAGGCTTCTTCAATGGCCAGAGTTTCAAACCAGTGCATATATATATATTAGCTATAATCGGTGGAAGTGGCGATACCATTGGCAGTCCCTCATCTTGCGTAAAGAATTCGTCTTTCAGTTGGAATTCAAAGAAGCCGCGTATATGTTGTCCAACAATGCATTTAGCCAAGCTAGCGTAGTATATCAGACAATGGAAATTCGAACTGATGAAATATTTCCTAACGAAGGTTATCACCCATAAAAATAATAAAAATGTTTCTTAAATCCTTCAGTATCACAAAATCATATAGGATACAAACACATATTCACATATATATGATATTCAAACATATAGATAGAACATTTCACAAATCAAATTTCATTAGCAACAGTCCCCTTATCGATTCAAATATTCTGTTACAGCTACCATAGAAGCAACCGTTAATGAAAAACTTTGAAAATAATATTTTTTTTTTTGATTTCTTATATTTTGAGGAAGAATATTGAAACATTTTGCACCTGCAAGAGATAAATAGTGTTAGAAAAACAATGTATAATGTTTTTGAAGCCTTATCAAACTATCATGTCTCGGTGGGTACGAATGAATTTCGGATTTTCGGTGGTGATCGTGTGAATATTTTTTGAATACTGGAATGCACTTGTAGATATATATAAATGATACACACATAATTCCATTTTCAATAAAATGTTTTTTGCAAGAATCCCTAATTTGAATCAATCGCATAACCCTTTTCTGGGACATGAAAATTCTATGGAGCTTGAAGGAGCTACCCCACACAGCACTATTATAGAGATGTGACAGTATATGTATAATAGGTAAGAAACAGTTGGTTCATAAAAAAAATACAACTTCAATTCGATCCAACACACACCCTGTTATATTTTGAGCCAATAAAGTCAGATTCAAACCTGTTAGATATGTGATAGAGATGGTGACCATAAGTATATGATAATATTAAAGGAATTGGTGGTGAATCGAACAAATTGGAATTCAGGTGACAATCATTCCCTTAGCAGATAGAAGGACACAGATATCCGCTGATGTCTGTGCGTTGTAGATTCTGTTTGGCAGACACATGCCCTTAGATATCATTAGGTACCTAGTAAGTTATTTCATGGCCATCACATTCTCTAGATTTTACGGTTTGAGGTTTCACGAAACACACGAAACCTGTTCATAAAACTGAAGTGGAATTGTGAAAATCAATCCAGGATGTCATTGAAAACATCAATTGTTGATTCTTCAGCAAGAATTCACTATACACACCTACATAAAATCCTATCTGAGAGTGTTCTTCATTTTAAAGACATGTCTCCTTCTTGAATAGATATTCAGAAAACCGTTTTCTGTATTCATTGTAATCTATAGTGATTTTGATTAAACGGTCATTGGTACTATGCAACACAACCACGAGCAAAATGGATCAATGATTTTCTGAAGTATTATGTGGTTATGTACCATGAAAAATAAACAGTATTCTATTCAAAACATGCTAGTTGACACCTTTCAGTATGTGTAAATCTTATTGTCTCTTAAGTATTTTGGTACGTAGTCACATCCTCAGAATTTATTGTATATGTGTATGTATAAATTGTATGGTTTTCAGTGCAATCATTGATTGAACCAAAACTCCAGACAAAAAAAAAGAAATATACGAAAGGAGTATTCGGTCAGAATAATAAGTAAACAACTTCAAAATTATATGAAATGGGAAAGTTACTCCGACAATTTCAGCAAGGGTGCCTCAAGAAACTGAGGAATAGCATATTCACAATGTGGCTTATTTTGGTGTAGAGAAAAATTAATTCCAGCAATCATACACTCTATTCTATATCTGGCTTAATCAAATACTATTGTGCTCCGAGGGATATATTTTACTACATTATTATACAAAATATATTATTCTTCTTGTGACGACCTGGCTTTTCTGCGTATGGTGCATATCTGACAAGTAAATTGTAATTCTTCCTTCAGAACATCCGAGAAATACATCTGAAATGAAAGAAAATATTGTTCCTGTTCATGAGTATACTCAACTGGAAATCAAATCACATCTGAAAGTTTGAAAATGGGGTGCATTTCTCCTCTATGAGAACTGTTGAGAAGTTCATAAATAACTCACATCTTTGTTGTTGGCTATTTTTCTCACGTTCCAGAGGAATTCTGTCAAAGCTAGAAGCAGCGAAACGATGACACCAATTCCAAGTAGCATAAACAGACCCTTGGTATCTTCAAAGGTTAATTTATTTACGGTCGAACTATCTCCGTTTTCGAACTGAAATAATAAAAAATTTTGAAATGTGTATAACAACACCTACTATATGATCTATCAATAATTGAAAACATTGGAATTTTGGATAAAAACAGTTTTTCCAACCAATATAATTGTTGAAATTGGTGCTGAACTCAATGGGTGTTAGAATTATTTGTCAGCTAGCTGGGATGTACCTGTACATATTTGAACCTGTGGAATACAACTACAATGATGAAACGTTTTCGATAACAACATGACGGAAATGAATTGTTTCTATGAAATCATAATATCCTGGTAGAAAAGTACAGAAAATTGCATTGAAAATTCAGCTGGCAAATATTATACTGTATCATGTATTCATGTGAGGTGAGGAAGATTGTCAAATTAAAGAAGAATAACGTCTGATGCAATGATAGAAAATATGGAAACATGAATTCAGGAGGAGAAAATTGGACGATCTAACGCCACTTTCCCTCAATGGTGAGGTCATTCCATTTGGAACGGAGGTGAAATATCTTGGCATTATCCTTGATGAAAAATTCACCTGGAACGTTCACTTGGAAAAAGTTTTATACAAAGCCAGACTGTCCCTATGGACATGTCGTAAAACTTGGTAAAACTTGAGGTTTAGGTTCCAAATATGGTGCAATTGCCTGGTGGTTTTACAGAAAACGACCCAGGCGAAGCTCTCTGGCTTACAGAGACAGGCTTGTTTGGCCATCAGTACCACACCGTCAGCGGCCATAGAGAGGCTAGATGGACTGCATATAGACTTATGCATATTGCGAATTGCACAAATCAATTTAATGCAGAGTGCAACAGACTGTTGGTTCACACTGAAAGGCGCATCATTCTGGAAATGACCTCTGACTTTACGCCTCCAACTGTCAACTACGAACTGCCTTATAAAGTACTGTTCCCAAGTAGAGAGGAATGAATCCTCCGGGAGAAGAAAATATTAGGAGCAGATAGTTTTTGGTTCACAGATGGATCAAAAATACTTTTCGATTCTGGTGCAAGTGTTTTCAGTCGCAGACCCAGGACAGAGATATCTACCTGCCTAGGAACCTATGCGACTGTAGTTCAAGCGAAAATTTACGCTATTGAATTGTGTGCGGAGAGATTGGATCAATCCAACCTCACTCACAAGTCAATGAAAATGTTCCCGTATAGTCAAGCAGCGTTGAAAGCTCTTGGATTCTAGCAAGTAACGTGAACATTGGTAGCAAATTGCCAAAAACGACTTTTCTCGATAAGAGGTCTTAACAGATTATCTCTGGTCTGAATTTCTGTCCTGGAAGGCAATGAGGCTGCTGATTCCTTGTGAAGGAGGATGCTACAAGCAGCTCCATCAGACCAGAACCTATCATTGGCAAACAAAAACTGAACACCTGGATGGCAAGAAGATTTATGGACTTCTGGCAGATTCTTCCAGGATTGGCTTTTCCCCAGGCGTTTATTCACCCTTCGAAGCTTGATACCAAACAGTTGTTGGACTACAGTAGGGATGAACTACTATGTCTTACAGGCGTTCTCACATGTCACTGTCATTTGAATCATCATATGCAGAGACTCGAACTGTCGGTAGACAGTGTGTGTCGCCTCTGTTTGGAAAATTATGAAACAGCAGAGCACATATTTTGTGCCTGCCCCGCTGGGGACCGAATCAGGTTTTGAGAGTTGGGCAGAGCCGTACTCTTACCACCCACCATACAAACTTATCGGCTTCGTTAAGAAGCTGGATTCATTTGGTCGAGTGTGAATAGGTGTTAGGTAAGGTACAACCCCTGCGGGTTGTACCTTACCTAACCTAATTGAATGTACATAACCCGCGAAATTTGAATATTCAGCTTATTTTTTGAACAGCTCACTACATTGAAACAATGTTGAAATACATTTTTTCTCACAGAATCAATATTATTTTATGATATCCCTAGGTTCATCATAGATTTGTTTGAATTTTTTTCCGCACTTTCTCGAAGGATATTTTTCCTTCAATTACAATTATTATAATTTTTTCAAAGAGTCATTATGTTTTCTTGGACAACTGATCAACATACTCACTTCACATAATGGTTCATCACTATCAACTTTCCACCACTTCTTTTTCAGCTCAGTTAGTTGTCCCGATTCTTGCATTTTCAAAATAGCCTTATTGATAGCACTCTTATAAGGTGAATCTGCAAAAAGTCAAGAAATAAATCTGTCATATTAGTTCCTCAGTCGTATTATTGAATATGCCTTTTTGCCTTATATAAAGACAGAAACAGTATACTTTGAAATTTTTGGGAAAGAAAGTTTTTGGCTTTCTACTACTTCATCTTGATACAAAAAAAGATGAGGGAATCTTCCAAAGAAAGGAAGGAAGTAATCAATTTGAAAATAATAACTCTATACATGAATGTGTAGATTTGATTCAATTTACAACTTAGTTCTTTCCGAGACGACATATATGTGACTGCATCTTTCGAAATTCAATTTGAAATAAAATCAGATCAATTAATTGGAAAGTAACGGAATTTTTACCTCAAAAACTGAAAAAACAATGGAAAGAACAGTTTTTGATTGCGATTCTGTGTGAATAAGTACTAACATAATAGACCAAATTCATATCAACTTACATATTTGTAAAAACAAACATAGATGAAAATATCACTATCTCATGTTACCTTCGATATTCCTCAAGGTTTCCATTGGGGACCACTACAGATATAATAGATATAGTGAAAATATACAATATGATTCAAAAAGCTTGAAGCTTTATGCCAAACAGTACATAAAATATTTGTCAATTCTGATCACCAAACATATTCTCATGTTCAAAATGGATCATTACATCGAGCATGAAAATACTATTCATTTAAAATTCCGTTGAAGATCTGATAGTGAGCTAACGGGGAATATAGTATTGTAGACAGAATTATGGTCCAATGGTCATGTCACCAAACTACAATATCGAGTAATATCGTGACCGAATCATATTCTCAAACAATGAAAATCAATCGAACAGAAAATTTCAATTATTAATGCTGTGTTCGTGAAAATAAACATAAAAGGAAACAAACTGTATATACACTTTTCATGTATAGTTATTTGAATATATCATTTGTTTCAGGTCTTAAATGGAGGTCGTCATCACTATCTCGGTCCTGAATCACCACAAGGTGATTTGGTACTGTAACATTTGGAAATGAATCACATTAGAGGTTTTTCAGGCACAGAAATAACCTATATATACCCTAGGACCGACATATGGATCATTAAGGAAATAATGATATTACTGTAACAACATCTGTAGAAGATCTGGGAGTAATATTGGCAATTATTTTGGCGGAAAATTAGGTGAGAGATAATTCAAATCACTATGTTCTTATCTGTAGTAGACTGAATCAAAATTCAGTAATTCAATAAGAGGTGAAATAGAAATCCCTTGGCGTAAAATCCAAGCAGTTTTTTCATAAACATCGGAACTGCTATACACTTCTGAAAAGAAAGAGAGAGAGAGAGAGAGAGAGAGAGAGGAGACTATTAGGCCAGGCGTACTATGTTGAAAAATACTGATTTTTCAGAAAAATTCCTTACAGGGTAAACTCAACGGGAATGGGTTGGGAAGATAGTCAGTAATGCTGGGGCCAAAATTCAACAGCTGAATGTTTGCAGGGGTGGAGGGGTGGATGTGAAAATGGGTGAAAAACGGTTTTTCGTGGTTTGCGGACAAAATAANTATGAAAACTGATTTTGACAAATAAAGCAATTAGTTACTTAGATTAGAATCAAGGACAAACAAAGGAACAGGATTCTTGATTGAAAAATTATGGGTTTCTATTGGTTGATAATCTGTATCGTTATGAAAAATCTGTATCATAATGGATATCATTATGAAACGGATTATGGTCATATGAGTGTATTGTTAGAGTACGGGTGTAGAAAAAAATTCTGACGTACTAGGAATGATTCATTATGAACACTTCATGTCTATTCAAATAATCTTCCAAACCTTCAGTCACTTTATCTGGATGAAGACTTCGAATTCCTTTAGATTTTGGAATATAAGCAAGAAATGTTAGATTTCATATCTTGACAAAATGATGTTTTGCCAACATCTATTTTTTTGCTGAAACAGTTATCATTTTCGTGGAAGTTCACTATAAAAGACATTATTTAGAAACTGAAGCAAATCCAGTGAACCTCTTCGAGTTCAACACCATTCCGATATTTTTTCATTCAAAAATGAACATAGAAATGATTTCCTGCTCTTTAAACATAAATTGTCAGTATCTGAGGAGGCCCTGAAATATGTTAACTATGTTTACAATACTAGTAGTGAGCTGTTATTTTGGACAATACCATCACATTGGATATGTAATATCAGTTGCCAATAAGGGTGTATTCTACTTTTCCAGATCTAGAAGGTTTCCTCTTACGAAATTAGATTGCCATTCAGTCTCAGATCTTGAATTCATGTTTCACCACTGCATATGTTTTAAAAAATGAAACTCACTGGGTATCACGACCATCGAATCAAAATAATATCGATCAAATATTTCCTGTAACATATTTTGCGATATCCCCTATATTTTACCTCTTCTACGAACTCTAAATAGAAAAATGTGTTAACATTGTATACTCACTCATAGGCATAGCTATACCATAGCTTTTGGAGTCCAGTAAATCCCCAACTTGCTTTAGATCACAATTTCTCTCCAACTCGTACTCTATTTGCGTTGACTCCATGAGGAACGCATACTTAGCGTTCTTGGAACTAGCAACTCTCGAAACACCTTCCGAATTAGTCAGTCCAAACACCAAAGGGTCCTGTTCCATTACAGACCACATTCTCTGGTATGTAGTGAAGTTGGAGTTTCGAAAAAAATATTCAGTAGAACCTCCTTTCACAAGGCCGTATTTGACTTTGTTTTGTTTTGCAAGATCTTCTACATTATTGATAGAGGAAAAGTCGCTGTTAGCTTGGGAAATGAATACTGATAAGTTGGAGATGTAAATGCTTGAAACCGTCAGACAGAAAAACCACCAGGTAACAGTTGCTATCCTCGCTGAGAAACCTCTGAAAATGATCAGAATTTGATTCAGAAAAAAATTCACTGAGTAGATTGAGTAGATGAAGGAATTCAGAAGACATCTTGGGCTATATCATCTCCATGTTTTATGATGCAAATTCGAGTAATCTTCTGTATCAATGAAGACACATTTATTGATAGGAGAGATAGCAGAGTTGATATCAGGTAGCATATTGGAGAATTTCCCTTGGCATGAAATTTCCTCAGTTAAGCTTCATTTCTCAGAAGAAGTAGCTATGTTCGATCGAAATCGATAGAAAATGCCATATTATTATTTCCATGCAGAATTATACAAATTGTATCCACCATGAGTGAATATAGCATTCAATAACACCTGCAAATGATGGAATTGTTTTATCAAAATGGATGTTCTGCTAACGAAGTGCTGGAAGTGACAGTTCTACCAACCCTTGGCACGGCTGGAGAGGAGCCTCGCATCATACCACCAAAGGAGACGACAATCAGAACACGCAGGGTGCTCCACATGATTAAGCCCCCTGAAGCCACAAGAACTGGCTCGTTTGAATGCGGAGGTTCATAGAGTTCTAACAGAAGAGGCTGACATCTGGCAAATCAACACCGCCGTGTATAACGTCGTCCAATCGCTATAGTGAGATGTATTGAACAACTGATACCACTTTCGCGAACTCGCTTCACCTTAACATCTGGTCAAGCAAGAGTCCAAACAGGGTGGGTCACTTCCAGAAGGGGTGTATTTCAAGGTGATTCCCTCAGCTCCCTTCTATTCTTCATTGCCATTATTCGTTGCGCTTAGAAATAATCGAGGGTGTAACTGTGGCACCCCCGGAAACCGGAGGCACAAGGTCACCCATCTGTTTTATATGGATGATCTTAAACTTCATGCCTCTGGAGAGCAGGATCTCCATCAGTCCTTGAGGGTGGTGGAAGAGTACACGCATGCTATTGGTATGAAATTCGAGATAGACACATGTGCAATGGTTCATCTCGAAAAAGGACGATGTGGGGACTACGGAGAGGATGTGCAGCTCGTAGATGGAAGCATCCTACACCATCTGGATGCCGGAGAGACGTATACTTACCTCGGGGTGGAACAACGCCACTCACGACAGAAACTGAAACAAAACTCTCAACTGAACAGAAATTGAGTTTAATGCAGAATATATTTCCAATTGAAATTTTCAATCATTATTATTTTCCTTCTCAAACTCATTTTCGAAGTCCAAGATCTGGAATTTGATTGCGTTTTTTCAAATACTTGAAATTTACTGTTTCTGAAGTTTGATGATTGCTGAGAATTGGTTTCATCATTTAAACTTTTGCGATTCTGTCTTTCGCAACTATCTGACCACATCATCAGCGTTTTTGAGTTTGGACTGAGATGATTTTCAATGAACTTCTTCAGTACAGATTCAACTTTCAGGGCCCCTTGCCTATCTGTCCCCTCTTTCCATACGATGCAGTATCAATTTTTTCCACAATAGACACCTTCATTGTACAGCCAGAGTTGCCTTTCATAGAAAACCAAGTTTGTAAACGATGAACGATTATGTACGAAACTAACCAACAGTGTAACTAGAAAGTGAACAATGATCAGAAGAGAACCAAGTCACAAAGAGGAGTCCAAGCGACATTGCTACACGTTTCGTTGAATATCTAATCGGAACCAGGTGTAGGTCCTTTCTGATTTATTCTGTATCTGTGATGATCACTTAGTTCCCAGTGCAGGGTCATTTTTCGAGCGTCATTACACATCTGGCGCTTGGTTCTGTTCAGAAACATGACCCGAGAGTACTTATGTGTCGTATAGTGTCATAAACTAATTTTCACAAAAATGTCGCTTGGTTCCTTTCTGATGAGCATTACCCATTTGATATTCTGCACGACCGATTTGAGAGCATAATCATAATGAGCATAATGTGAACTGGCTACCGAGATCATGAGATTTGACCCTGTTGACTTTTTTGTGTGATTTCCTTGAGTCGCAAGTGTACGTGAATACGCCACAAACCACAGAGGTCCTCAAAGCTAACACATCCCGAGCCATCGTTAAAATTCAGCCTTATTCATGCGCCAGAGTCATAGACGTTTCGGATGCGCTCCACCCAAAGAAGTCGTGGCGGACTTTTGAACGATGTTTTATTCCACATGTGGAATTGGCCGCGGTGGTAGTGCGCCCGACTCACGATTGGAAGATCGTGGGTTCGATTCCTGCTTCGACCAGATATTTTTCTCGAGAGAATTCATCTGGTTGAAGCTGACATGATTCTGCAACCGTGTTAGGAATCACACGTTAAAAGGTAAGAACTCATTGGTCCTTAACTCCCACAAGTTTCTCAACTTCTGAGAGTTGTCGTTCTTATGGGGGCGACAGCTGATTAACGGAAAAACAGATACACATAATGGCATCAATAGGTATTTCAAATCAATTAAACTTTTATCATCTCAAAACACTTCGTTTTGTTCAAATTCATCGATGAAAAGCGCTTAATAAAATACTTCAAGGACTAGATGATGGGAATCAAGATAGTTATCGAAACGTTATTCAAAAGAAGTAGTGATGAGTTGAATGAATCAGTATCTGATTTTTTCATTCAAGCGAAGTTACATTTCAGGATCAATTTACTATTCATTTTCTTCTCCTTTGCATAATTCTTTCATTGCAGAAAAATGGGAATACAGAAATGTTCTAGCTGTTTCATCAAAATCAATAATAAAAGCTTTATGATAGTTAGTTTTATACTCCACTTGAAACCCAATAATTTTTCAATGGTTCGACTTTTTGGATATGAATTGATGTAATTGTTTTAATTCAGTCCTTCCTGTATACTACAACGTAGTATACTGGGAAGTTCTGAACCATGTCCTCAACCATTCTAGAGGCCATACGCTCATTTGAAATAGCTCACAATGGATTTTTCTCTGATGAACTTGACCTCCATCGATCAAACATGCACTTTCCTTGAAAAGCCACCGGAGCGCAATATTTCACTTTCGTGAAAACATTTTTCTGTTGATGAGGTAACGAAGGCACTCAGATCAATTTCAACGTCAAGATAAAAACGTATTGATGACGGTACAATCCATTTCGGCCAGTTATTATTTCATCCACGTTCCGAACACATCTGTAATGCTGTATTCAGTGAGATCTTTCTCGAGAGCAATATCTTCTCTTAACGCATGCTATCGGTATGAAATTCGGGATAGACAAATGTGCAATGTTCCATCTCGAAAGAGGACGATGAGGGGACTATGGAGAGGATGTGCAGCTCGTAGATGAGAGCATCTTACACCATCTGGATGCCGGAGAGACGTATACTTACTTCGGGGTGGAACAACGCCACTCACAAGAGATAACACCAGTGAAGAACTCTCTCCTCGGCAAGTATCAGCACAAACTTCGACAGATCTGGTCATCGGAACTGTCGGGGAAGAAAAAAATTGCTGCAAAAAATATGCTTGCCGTTTCAATCTAACTCTACTCGTTTGGAGTAGTGAAGTGGACTCGGAAGGAGCTGTATCAACTTGACGTAAAGACCCGAAAAATTATGCATCTCGATAGGAGTTTGCATCCCGAATCGTACGGTTGTACTTCCTCCGACAACAGAGAGTCCGCGGCTTATCAAGACGCCTGACCTTCGCTTTTCTCAGGTCCGTCGGAAACTGAGGGGTTCATCATGGCTTGCCAGGATGGTTGCCTGACACAATGTGCAGGGCCTGCCCCCGAGACCCTAATGCACTTGCTATCAGCATGTCCAGCATATGCGGTCTCGGCCTATATCCATCGACATAAGGCGGCCCCAAGAGTGCTATATTACCATCTACGACACTCTTACGGTATTGACGAGACACCGGTGTTGCCCTACTCTCCGGGGGATATTGAATCCGTTCTGGGGAACGAGAATTTATTAGAACTATTCCTTCCCCAACCTCGGGCTCATGCAAGCTAATAAGCCTGATGTAGTCCTTCTCGATCACCAGAGCAGAACGATATTTGTCGTGGAGTTTTCAGCTCCTAGCGAGACGAATATCGTCAGAAAAGAGAAGGAAAACTGGATGAAATATCGAGATTTTCTCTTCGAACTCCGCAGACTCTATCCAGATCACTCTGTCAAGATGGTTGTTCTGATTATTGGAGTCCTTGGTGGACTGATGTCCCCTCTACTCTTGAATCTTAAAATCATACCGGCTTGCCACACTAAGGCAGAAATCTTAGCCGCACAGATGCAGACGGCTGTCATTCTTGGCTCACTGCGTTTGCTCAGGGCACATGATTCTCGGACACAATTATCACTTACCCCACGGTGTGGGGAGTGGTCATTGGTTGATAATGCTGGCGCGCCCTTTCGAATGTATCGGGGCTTCAGAGTTTCAAACAAGGTATTTGAGCATTTGAGCTATATCTAAGTAGGATGTCATGTATTTCAATATCATGTATTTCACCAAATAGTCAATATGTGCATCCCATTTTAAATGAGCATCTGTGTGTTAGGAATCACACGTTAAAAGGTAAGACCTCGTTGATCCTTAGCTCGCACAAGTTTCGACTTCTGAGGGTTGTCGTTCGTAGGGGTGCAACAGCTGGTTAACGAAAAAACAGATTTTTTTAAACAGATATATACCAAGATACTTCATTTCATTAACTGAAGAAATAGTGAGATTCACATTATCATATTTCATGAGTAGTGATTTGAAACTTGGTAAATGGCTAGGCTGAGATGTAAAGGTAATATATTAATACTCAGTAGTTTACTTTCAAACCATTGAATTATAGCTTTGAAACTGAAACAAAACTCTCAACTGAACAAAAATTGAGTTTAATGCAGGGAATATTTCCAATTGAAATTTTTAATCATTATTATTTTCCTTCTCAAACTCATTTTCGAAGTCCAAGATCTGGAATTAGATTGCGTTTTTTCAAAAACTTCAAATAAACTGTTGCTGAAGTTTGATGATTGCTGAGAATTGTTTTCATTATTGAAACTTTTGCGATTCTGTCTTTCGCAAC